ATGCCAAATTTCAGCGAGATCCATGCAGCTGTTCTGGAGATATCTTCTAACATATCATCAAACATTCGCATTTATAATAGTATGTTTGCTAATTGAAGTTACTAAACCTTTAAAAGCAATCGATTATTTTAAAATTGTTAGAATGTATCTGACTAATGCATACAATATAAATGCACTCTAAAAAAAATAATAAAAATTTGTCTCTGGGACTTAATTTAATCTTAAGTAACATTGTGCAATGTTTATCAAAGAATTGAATTTAGCGCGTCATTATTCCAAATCTTTCCATGGCATTTTATGTGCAAAAATACCTCGCAGACTGTACAAGACAATGTTGCAACATCATGTTGCCTAGATATTGTTTTGAATAACTAGAATAGTTTATTTACTGACCGTGGGTTTCTGAGACCAAAAGCTTCGTTTTAAAACATATTTTTATCTCTGTTTTGTTAAAGATAATGACAGGGATGACGATATGTTTTATACAGACATTTTGGTCTTAGAAACCAACGGTAAATGAAACAATTTAGGAAATCTTTAGCGTTTCCTAAAAATTTACAGTTTACTTTAATGGGAAGTAAATGGAAAATTTTCCTATAAAACTAGTTCCATTACGGGATGGTGAAATATTCAACTCAAAAGGGTTTTACCCATTGATTAATTCTATTTTTAGCAAATATGGCAAGCTAAGTACAATCCTTTAAAACAAAAAAGTTGCAATATTTATTAACGAGTTATAAACCCTTATGAACACATTCTTCTGGAAGTTTCCATGTCAAATTCTTTTAAAGCATTTATTTACTAACTTATACGTACTACAAAGTCAATGTCAATGTGTGTGTGTGTGTGTTTGTAATTATTTTTGAAATAATTAAAATAATAATAGCTGCTGGGTTTTGTTTAGAAATAGAATTAGCTATAATTAGTACTGCATACAAAGAATTTAAATCATCATTCATTTAACACCACAAATGATTATTTACACAAAAAAACATGAACATAATGTGACCATGAAGACTAAAAAAATCCCGATTGACTACACCCCTATGACACAGAGGGAAAGAATACGAAATAGATGACACCTCTCTCGTTACAATTGAATCAACCGTTTAGGCTCCAGATAGTTACAATAGAGTCAGCCTTGCTATCAGTTTTCAATATAAAGACGACGGTCAAACCAACTTGAACGGTGACTGACTCGCCGCCAGCCTCGGCCAGTTCAAGTTCAATGTCGCACTTTGTTTAGCTCTAAAGTTGCATGTAACATCATCCGGTGCCGCGTTCCCACTACGATTGTACTCGCTCAACTACTACATTCTAATGGAACGAGAAACTTGTTTGTGTAAACAAACGAGTGACTGAAAATATTATGCGTTTGTGTTTGATAACAAAAGCATGGCGTTATATTATTTAATTTAATTAAAGAGACCTTTTTATACCGATGATAACTATTTAATTTCTTTTTGCAAGAAATTACAACACAATTTTCAAGTGACTATTGTCTCTTACTTGCGTTCTAAGTTATCATTCTAGTAATTATATTCCGTAATAATTATTATAATAATTTAAAAATCACTACGACGTATAAAATCCAGCATTTTAACAACAATATAAATTATAGCATAATTCACGGCGAGTAATATAAAAAAAGACATTACTCTATTATGACTTGAATAATTTTCGACCAATTTTTTTTTATTGTGAACGAAGCATAACAATAATATTGCCACTATTATTACGATGGACGTGGTAATGTGCGATTTATCATATATTTATTTTTACAATAGTTTTGTTTTCGTTTGCGACAATTTAGTTCGCGCGTAAAAGCAATTTACAGTTAACACGACTCTATGTTGTAGCTTAAATTATGGAAAGCTATTATATTTTTTATGAGTATTTTAGTACTAGTAGAAAACTATTGTCAAACGCTATGTCAATTTAGTTTACATTATTATATCAATAGATGGCGGAACTTATTACTAGATCACGATATTGATTTATTTGGTATGTTTATGGACTTGCCGATCGCATTTCAATAAAGTTGACTCGCATCAAGATATAACCAGTGTTTCATTGTGACTACTCGATACATCTCCAGTGAGAGGGAGACTGTTTGTGACTGCTTTACAACTATGCTATAGTTATTTTTTTATTCAAGTGTTGCAATATATAAATTTAAAGTGAACGTATTTTTTTTTGTCGAATATTCTCTGTAGTCAAACATTCAAATAAGGTTGTATCTTGTCTACATTTAAACATCTTACACTATTTTTACTAATTATTTGGTTAAATTTTCACTTAATCTCTATTTACACTTAAACTGCTATCAAATTTCAGTTCCTCATTTCCAGTAGTTTCGACTGATAGGTCAAAAAATCAGGTTCTCTTTGATATATTTAGACATTACTGTTTATTGAATATTACTACGGAAATTATATTTATAGATTTTACTAGCTGTCACCCGCGACTCCGTTCGCGCGAAATAAAAAATAATAATCAGTAGTTGCATGCCAAATTTCAACGAGATCCGTTCAGCCGTTCCGGAGATACCTTCAATCAAACATCCATACCTTCGCATTTATAATATTAGTAATAATTAAGATTTCATATACTTTAAAAATGACTAAATGTTACTTCGCCTGTTTACGTAATGACCTTCACCGTGACTTTTTAACGAGCTATGTAATAGAATATACATATTACCTAATAGCAATTAAAATGTAAAAATAACACGTGAATCAGTTTTTACCTCATTAATTCAAACTGTTATGGCGCAGTGGTTGAGAGATCGATAATGATTTCGTCTCAAAGATACGATTCTCAGTAAAGTTACATCCTTTTTATTCTCTCTTTACAGCGTGTTTAACATAATTTCAAAGCGTACAATGCATAAAGGGGTGGGTAGGATTGGATTTTTAATTTATTTGCTACAATTGTGGATGTCAATGGGCAGCACTATTTTAGCGAATTCATGTGGCCGCTTGCTCGTTTGCCACCTTATAATATTAAAAAAATTGCTGTGTAAAATATTGAACTACTGACATTATCTGTTTCATAACTAGCTTTGTTACGTGACTCCGTCTGTGCGTAATAAAAAAAATCTTCATAGTCTATGTGTTTTTCAAGACTTCGTTCTGTCTTCAGCCGTTCTGATTGTACTTTGTAACAAACATACATCCATACATTCGCATTTATAATATTACATAGTAAGCTCGTTATATAATAATATTATTTTTTCCCACGTTAAATGGATTCACAACAACAATTTTAAAACATAAATCAGCAATGTAAATTAGAGTGTAACAATTAATGATATTTGTTATTCATCAATAGGTTTTATTCTTTTTAATATTAATGAATCATTTGTATAAGAAAGAAAATCATTGTTCAATAATGTATCAACTTTACTTGTTCAATAAATATTATTTCGTATTTGTATTGTAAGGTGAGTTGAGGTTATAAATAACGTCGCTAAATACAAACATGGTTCCTTATTCAGACTGTATCGAGGTGATATATTTTATAACAATAAATAATTAAAGCTTCCTTGATTGTGTAAGATAATTTCTTTACAAATGAAACATTGTAAATATTGTCACAAGAAATACTTTGATGTTTTGTTAATTGTGGTTATCATAGTAAATGCAGGAAAAGTTAAGTTGCGTGTTGTCTCTTGGTCTTGAATTTTTTCTTACAAGTTTCTTTAAACGTCTAATGGACATAATAGCTAACACGTGGAGTGCTTCGTGCTTGATGTTTTCATAATTCTCATGGATTATAAATGTCTATCTCCTTTACTTATTTATGTACTGACTATTTGTCACCCGTGACTATATTCGCGCGAAATAAAAAAAAACTTAGCCTATGTTCGATGCCAAATTTCATCGTAATCCGTGAGTCTATTCTGCAGATACCTTTTAACAAACATCGATCCATACATCTTAATATTCGCATTTATAATATGACTAGTTATCTATTTATAAAATATTAGTAGATTTTTGTAAATTTACTAATATTTCTTGTACCATTCCAAGTATACTTTATGCTTTTGCTTCGAACTCCCGACCTCGTGATCGGAAATCCGTACACTTAACCATTATACTATTGACGCTTAATTAGAAACCTATGTCTTATTCTACTATGTTCCACATTTATGGCAAATTTGATCGAGATCCATGCAACTGTTCTGGAGATACATCCAAACATTCGCATTTATAATAATACCAAGTAAGATATAATAGGAAATAGTCTACTAACGATAAATAAATCGTCAATAAATTATAAGATATCGAAATATAGCTAGTTACAAAGTAAGAAGTTTACATTCATATGCTATTTTTTATAATATCTAAATGCTTAATAAAAAATTTTAAACTGTATCGAAAAGTAAGGTCGTAGTTTTTTATTCACAATTTGTGTTCCCGTTGCCTTTGAGTTGGCTTCATTAAAATATATGTTTTATTTTATATTGAATTTGTATTCGTTTATTTTCAAGTCTGATATTTGGATTGAGAAATGATTGGCACTTTATACAGTATGATTATAAAGTTACAAACTCAATTTATCGCACCTCAAATTACTTTACTTTTAGTTATTTTATAGTGACGGATAATTAACGAAGTAACGCTTAGTTTAAATAAATATTTTTTTCGGAATATATTATACACTAGCGGTTGTCCGCGATTCTGTCTGCGCAGTATTAAAAAAATAATTAGTGTCTATATGTTGTTCCAGACTATGTTCTATATGTATTCAAAATATCATCAAGATTCGTTCAGTCGTTCAGGAGATACTTTCAAACAAACAAACATCCATCCATACATCTAAACATTCGCATTTATTATATCAAGTAAGAAGTAAGATTTTAATGTATAGAAGTGTCAAACAAAGCCGTATGTTACCGTTACGATCACTCTACTAATTTAGCAAATACCTGCCCTTAGTCGACACTGAAGGAGTGCCCTAGTAATAGTGCTAATTAAAACTTAATGTGTATTTACCATGTAGAGGTCGCCATAACGGCAGACCTTCCAGAAGTTCTTGATGGTGGCAAACATGGTGCGTGCGCGCCGCTGCCCCACTCGCGCCGCCGCAAACCTCCTGAAATACATTGCTCGGTTACTATCGACTTTAATAGTAGATGACAGTAGATACTCTTCAATGTACGCTTAATTCTAAATACGTGTTGATGTTTTTTTAATTTATCTCAAATTATCAAAAGGACTTTTATAAGTTGAGGTCAATGACATTGTTTTGTCTGTATTTTATCACATTTGATATATCTTGACTTATCTCGTTTTGTGATAAAAGTGTTCCGTAAACAAGAATAACAAAAGATGCATTATGTACTTATTTACCACATCTCCTTCTCTCTTTATTACCTAAGGATAAATAATAATTTAACTATTACATAAGAACAGGTTTTAGACTAGCACTAGCAGATTTGCATGCTGTCACATAGTTCACTATATGCGATTAGGGTTGCCAACTTTGAATAAGACAAATAAATAATGCCGACAGAAAACAATGATTTGTCAACCCTGGATTTCTTAAAAACAAATGACGCACTAACTTGTATCACACCAACGACTCTGATACAAAGATATGAATGTCAAATCCCTAACCTCAATATGCAGTGTGCTGATCTGGATGTGTGATTAAAACTCAGATTTCTCAGCCCTCATTGCGACCGTATTGATTATCTTTTGTTTCATACTCGAAAGATTGAATACAAAGGATTGATTTATGATTTGTTTGTTGTATTTGTTTCTGTTTTTATTTTAAGTTTAATTAAGTAAGGAATCTTATTACGTTTAAAATTATTTTTATTATTATTTTAAAACTTGTTTAACATTAGTACGTACTGTGCTGATCCTCAATCGATAAGGACAGGTTGATGGTTTTTTGCGTCGTTTCTCTCAATACATCTTACTAATAATATAAATGGGAATATTTAGATGGATGAATGTTTGTTTGAAGCTGTCACCTGTACGGCTGAACGGATTTCGTTGAAATTTGTCATAGATGTAGAACATAGTCTGGAAGAACACATAGGCTACTTTTTAAGTTTTATTTTCAATACCGGGCAGACGGTGTCGCGGGTAACAACTAGTGTTTATATACAGTTTTTCCTCACAAAATTATTCTATAGTAATCAATTATTTCTCTTGCACTGATAACCGAGACTGTTCTTGAATCAGAGATTTGATTTATGTGAGGGCTGATAGCGTATCAACGAGTTAAACACTTGTAAATATTATTTATACTATGTTATGTCGACTAAAGGGAATTTTAGTGATGATATTTAGCAGGAAAATATTGTCACAGGATAAATAAATATGTTCCATTTTTTGTTGTAACAATTAATCTTCTTTTTCGTCTTATAGTTTTTTTACGTCATTGGTTTAAATTGTTAAACTTTTTGTCTAAACAATTGCATAAAATCTTTAATAAAATGATTTATAAATATAACGCTTTGATACAATCTACATATTTAAATATATCGACATTTAACTGTCTTAAATTATTATACAAAAAATGTAATTGAATCAACTAGTGTTGTACACAAAACTATCGATATCGATAACACATTTATCGATATTGTCACGTCCCTAGTGCGGGGAACTGATTGCATTGCTGTCGATTCATCACGCGCACGCCTGCTTATTGCTAACGTGTCAAAACCATGAAACAATCTGACGTACATTGTAAGGTTAAGTAGACGATACTAAATCTCGATTCATAGAAACAACAAGCATTTCATTACAAGGAACTGAAAAGGAAAAACATACAAGTTTAAAAGATTAAAAAGGAAATAAAAAACAAAACAAAGGAATCATTCGTCAACCAAACGAAATGTGATATAACATGATTTATACGATAAAGATTTTTGAGGAAAACTCATAGTTTCTGAAGAAAAAAAAATGTTTAAATTCCAACAATCCATTATCGCGTAATTTGCATACTGAAAAATCACGCAGCAATAACTAACCTATCTTATAGCATCAGAATATTACATCTTACTTCTTACTAATATTATAAATGCGAATGTTTAGATGGAGTAATAGTCTTAATAGATCTTGATACAATATAGCACAGATGTAGAATATCTGGAACAAAAATTCCGCACGGACGAAGTCGCCGGCGACAGCTTATATCACATATAAACTATGGGCACCCATATTTTTAATATCTTTATTAGTATTTTGGCTTGTCATCGTGCATTTTAGTCTAGACATACTCCCACTAAATACATTGTAGCAAGTAATATATACATAAAAGGATAAACTGACTGTCCAACAAATTTGTCAACGCACAACCAAAACTATTGTACCTTGGACTTGTGTATTTTTACATGGATATCTATTATTACGGCAAGACTAAAGTCGAAGATTTTATATAGATTTTTTTCCGTAGAATTACTTGAAATTACGGCTAAACACTCACGTATATTCGTCCGGTGGCGGCACCGACTAGTTTCGAGCCCATCGGGGGCCCTTCATCAGGATGTGTGGACCGGACGAATATACGTGAGTGTTTAGCCGTGTTTATATATCAGTTTAGTATAATGTCTCACGAAAGTTTGAATAATTAAATACTTGAAAATAGATAAACATATTCAGTAGAAATATTCCCTATTTCGGAATTATTATAAATTCCTTTCGACCGCAGTCGCGGACTTGAGCTAGTAAACTTCTGATTATAAAGTTTAGTTAACGAAAACCGGTTTGCTAAAAGATAACCTTTTGTAGGCGATAAATATGTAAATACAATTTAATTGTACTTCCTTCATTTAAAATTACACCTTACAATTATTGGTTGTGCATAAAATGCAATCGCAGCATAACGCAATGTATAACAAGTATTGGCTAAGCCAATATTCAACCTACTACGACAAATAATAATAATAACAAACCATCTCGTTCTAGACAATACAATTAAACAAAGACAGAGCACTATTAAGGATATTCGGTCGTGATAAGATTTAAAGAATGAATACTCAATTTAATTCCATTTAAAAAAAAAACTAATACATTAAAAGCATTAGTTTATATCTTACTAATATTATAAACTAGCTGTCGCCCGTGACTCCGTCCGCGTGGATATATAAAAAACTTAATTAGTGAAGCCTATGTGTTGTTTCAGTATGTTCTATACGTATGCTAAATTTAATCAAGATCCGATGAGCCGTTCTAGAGATATCTTCAAACACCCCTCCATCCACATCACATCCATCTTAACATTCGCATTTATAATATTAGTAAGTTAAATAAACAGCAGCTCTTTGAGGCATAAATTCGAAAAAAAAAGGAATAAATAGTATCCTATGTCCGTCTCCTGGCTCTAAGCTACCTCCTCACCAATTTTCAGGCATATCTGTAAAGCCGTTCTTGAGTTATAAATAGTGTAACTAAAACGACTTTCTTATATATATAAAGATATAGATATAGATGAGAATGTTTGGATGAATGGATGGATGTTTAAATGTAGAACTCTGGAACCTAGTCTAAAACCCATAGGCTACTAATTAAAAGTTTTTTCTTAAATTCCGCGCGGACAAAATCGCGGGCGACAACTTCGTATAATCGCTAACTATAAACAATTGTTTAAAATATAAAAAAGTAACCTACATATTTAGTAGCACAATATACTTGTTACTAAAAATCCTGCAACATTATTCATACGTTATCATAGTGAGCGGTCTCGCATCCATTGTAGTCTACTTGTATAAATCAAGTACCGATATGCATAACTTTATTGTTCCATAAACCTTACTAATAGCGTTAAAATATTTATTAATAAATTTTATTGATTGTAAAAAAAACTATTGTTCAATTGTTGTTGTTTCGTTTAAAGATTGTTTTTACTTATATCTCATGAAGGAAAGGATTTATTTATCTTATAATTTAGTAATATTAAAGTAAATAAAAAGGATTGAATTGTTTTCCTGATTGTTGTCTTGAACAACAAAAACTATTGAACCTTTCTATCGATTTGTCCTCGTCTTATAAAAAAAGCAATAAATTATTTTTTATCTACTCTCTAAACTGACAAAGTCTTGTCTCAACTATAATCTAATAATGAAAATTTTGTAAGGAGCATAAGTGATTTTTTTACGTTTAGAACGACGCGAATCAACGATACAAAAATGCCGTACTATGCAGTAAATTAATAGTTTTGTTCTGTACAGTCAACTCCAAAAATGTTTGGGTTCAAAAACGTACACAACTTATGCTCTTTAAACTGTGTAAAGTTTTGGATATTTGTTTTGTATACATATTTATGTAGCTGACTGTACAGATCTTTAGTACTTGAGATAGATTCAAAATAAGATCGAATAATAAACACGTGGCTTTAATTACATTAAAGCAATGTCAAGCTCCAAGCATTTATTACAACTGGTAGCCAAGAGTGTTCGAAATTCGAATATAATTCATAATCAAAGATTTAAAAAAAAACCGAATGAACAGAGAAAAAGTAGATAACACTGTTTGTCTTTGCCGTTTTGTTTTTCTATTAAAAATATGTCTCTTAACAATAATCTATGGTTCAATTAAGATTAAAAATTTTGAATCAATTTGTAATAATTTGTGACATTTATAAGAAATTAAGAAAGCATTAAGTTAAACCGCTAATGTTCACATTAATAATTTCAATTACGAAATATATAGTACATTTAGCATTTGAATAATTTTTATAGTGTTTAATGACAAAGAATACAAACATTACTAAAATACGAACCTTAAAGGGCGAAGCAGTACCACAGACGCGCTTGTGACTACTCAGTGGTCTTTAGAATTTTACTTCTTTTTTTTTTACTTCTCTTTAAGCACCGTTTGGGGTGAACAAAAGCTATTACCAATATTTCTGAGTGAATTTTATAAAATTCAATGTGAAACTGATAATCAAAAGATAATTTCATTTCATATAGAAACTAGGTAAAGTAATTTGTCTACATTTCAATTATTTGATAAGACGAATTCTCCCCACGTGTAAATATTTACCACGGCCCATGAAAACCTTGCCAATTGTACGTTCTATTTATAAGTTAGACCCAATATCACTATTTATAACTCTGCGTCGAACAATACTTGTACTAAATCCCACGAGA